TATATATAGATATCAAGAATGGAACATATGCAATATGTAGATCTATATGTAAACGAACCTGGCTTTAACCGACCCCCCGAAACCGTTTGCGGACGGAATTGACCAATTATAACAGCAGAAAATCAGGAAAAAATTTCTTATCCCGCAATAATAAAATGGAACATTTTCTAGGTACTGTTGATAAAGTGGAGTGGGTTCTGATATTGAATACTCCTATCCAGAATGATTTCATTCAAATTGAACAAGACCTGTTTGATATTGATATGGTATCGACAGTTATTAACGGTCAATATAAACAAAGCTTAACTTGCACGATTGCACGAGAAATCTTTGGAACAGAATTACCTAATGACGAACAAGATCTAAAAAGCTTCACAGAAACATTAGATATTAGTTCGTATATTTCTACTAGGATAAAAAATTATCTTTTGTTTGATTCCAATTCTTCTCAAGAACTAATTAAGAAACAACAAATCATCAAGCAGTTATATTTACTCTGTGTCGCGGTGGCCTCTTTAAATGCCTTCGTACAAACTTGTTGGACTGGTCCTATTTTTGATCTGGAACCACAAGATATATTTCCTGTAGCTATAAGAGAACTGTACAATACTGAATTGAATAAGAAAATTCATGAGATTTTATCAGTAGATGGAGAAGAAGTTTATCATTTGACTCCTCGCGTTTTATATCTATTAATTCCAAGAATCATATTATTGGAAAATGCATCATTATTTACCTATCTGAAGAGCACCCATTGGTGGAGTCAGAGAGTTTTATTTATACAACAACGTATCTTAGATAACATTAGTGGATCATTACACGACGCAATATTACAATATTTACAATCTTTAAGCATTGCACTTCCAGATTTAATTCCTAAAGAAATTGCGATTGAAATATGTACTCGATTTCATTTAGAATATGGTATTGTAAATCACTATTATGGACAGGATTCTTCAGCAAAAGAACATTTTGTAAAAGCTCAAGAATTGAGTGGCTTTAAGTGGACACTTACAGGAATGCTAGGAAAAAGAACCAAGTTTCAAACCTTCGATGTATCTCAGCTATTAGTCATAGCAAACAGTCAGAAAGATGTAGAATTTAACAAAGAGGAAGATTCAAGAGATTCAGAAATAAAAAAGGTTCCAGACATTATATCGCTTAATGATGATACGCTTTTAGAGAAGGTTGAATTTTCAGATGATAAAAATGGATCGAATTCAAATGACAATCTCAAAATAATTGATCAATGCTTGCTACTCGCTTTTTGTTTGAATGTAAAAAATACTAACCCATCACATGGAATAACTACCGAACAAATGGTGCCTTTTGTATCAAGGGTTCTTGAAAATCCAAACAACTGGATGGTTTATACAATGGCACTTTTACTCAGATCACGCCTTGAAAAAGAAAAATCTCGAACTGTAGAACGATCAGTTCTTCAACTTCAAGCGCTAGTTGATCAATTTCCTTTAGAGTTATCAAGCGCAAAAGAACGGTTGGATTACTTCTATCAAATCCTATTACCATCAAAATGGGAAATGGAAAAAGAACTTGCTTTGCAATACTTGTCTCTAGGAGTGATTCGATCTGCCTTACAGATTTTTGAACGTCTCGAAATGTGGGAAGACATTATAAATTGTTATATATCACTTGAAAAAGAATTTAAGGCTAAAGAAATTATACTTGAACGCCTAAATATTACGCCAAATTCTCCAAAACTTTATTGTCTTTTAGGTGATGTCGAAAAGAATCCAAAGCGCTGGGAGCATGCTTGGGATATATCAGGTAATCATTACGGGCGTGCTATGCGATCCCTGGGCGCACATTGGTTTAGGCAAAAGGAATTTCGAAAGTCAATAGAGTGTTATACAAAAGCTCTTAATGTAAATCCAATTTTTGAAAGAGCTTGGTTTGTGCAAGGTTGTGCAGCAATGCATGTGGAAGAATGGGATATTGCATTGCAAGCTTTTTCTAGAGTGATTGCTCTTGACCCTGATAACTCTGAAGCATGGAATAATCTTGCTTCAGTTTTTCTTAAGCAAAGCCGCAAATTAGATGCATTTAATGCTTTTCAACAAGGTTTAAAACAAAAATATGATAGTTGGAGAATTTGGACAAACTACATGTACACTGCCGTTGATATAGGTGAATTTGCTGAAACCATTCGTGCTATGCAACGTATAGTTGACTTACGATGGGAAAAGGAAAAGGAATCGTGTATTGATTTAGATGTTCTTGAGATTCTGGTGAATGCTGTTACTCAAGGAATTCAAGATGCTAATAAAAACAGCGCATCTAAATTAGCACCAAGACTTGAAAATTTATTAATGAAGACCATTACTTCACGGATAACGTCACACCCACAGATATGGCGACTTTGCGCACAATATTGGTTCTGGAAAAAGGAATATGAAAAGGCTCTCGAGTCTCATTTGAAAGCATATAGAAGTACTTTACATAACTCTAGATTAGAAACCTCTGAAAATGTATTTAGACAAGTTGCAACAACAGCATTAGAAGTTGTAGAAGCCTATCAAAACCTTGGTGATTTAACAATTGTTCTCAAGAATGACCAAAAAAAGGTGACATCAGAAGATTCACAAACAGAAATACCAACTACAGTAGTATGCAAAGATTGGAAATATCAAGCTAAAAGCTTATTAACGAGTTTAATAGGTAAAACAAAAAATTTTGAAAGCACAGAAATGCATGACAAATTAAAAGAAACATTAAAAAAATTGAAAAGCTTATAATTATAGATTTATTTTCATTAAAGAAATAAATACAGTACATAAATAAAATATTATGTAATACATTATTGAAACAGATAGAATTCAACTTTTAATAATATTACAAAATGTCGGTATTATGAAACCTGCATATTTAACTCCAACAATGAAAGTTGCAATGCATCCGCTATTTCTTCTACCGACACAGACCTAATGTTGTCATCCTTATAAATTTTCATATCTAAAGTATCTTCAGAATCTTGCTCGTTTTCAATATAAATATATTCATCTTCATCCTCTGGTGGTATGAGCTGATCCTCCATATCATTCTCTAAAGTATCTCTAATTGGTTGCTTTTCATATTCATATAGTTCACATTTATCACCAAGAATAAATGTTGTTCCAGCCTTTATTAATTCCGGGTTGCGTTCAATAATTCTAAGCTGTTCAAACCGGGACAAACGTAAAAATTGAGACACCATATCACCATCAATAATAACGTTGATAGGACTGGTATTATTACTATCCGATCTAAATCTTATATTATTATTACCTGAATGAAAATAAAGATTAGTAAAAACATTTATTAGTAAACTCATAAATGCATTTAGAAAACTTGCCTAAACATGGACGTGTTGATGGCCACTTTTCAAGAATGGATTGCAAAACAGACATAAGTCGATATGATTTTATACTAATTCGCATGAATAAAAATACGCTTCCAAGAAGAGAACAACCAACGATAGTTGCGACTGGATGAGAAAGTTCGTGGTTCATATCCCATCCTAAGTCATCAGGCACTTCTTTGGCTTCAGAATGGTGATCTGATGATGTTTCTACAAGCTTATTCATTGTTTCTGTTCGATAACCGAGATATCCAACACGCAATCGTGAGACAATTTCGGCTTCATGAAAGGAAAAAACTGGTTCCAAACATGGTTCAATACTCGAATCATCTGTAGAATTAATTATAATTCTATTAGACATCTAAAATTCAGAATTCGGCATTTATGATGAAATATTACCTTGATTATATAATAAACCAAAAATATTTCCACATTTATCAGCCCCAACTGCTAAATTTTCGTTTAACATAATTGAATCAGATATCAAACGTGTCAACCTTTCCCTACAATAAAATTTATTAAATAAGTTAGCAGGCTAAGACAAGGAAAGAATGAAACATAGGAAGTCAAATCAAATACATTACGTTTTTAAGAAAGTAAATGGCTCTTTCTCTGGACTAAACTCATAAAATGACAACGACCCCTTCTGCGTGCCGACGCATATTCGTGTTCCATAAGCATTTATTGACAAAATAGGCCACCGAAGTTCCTTACTATGGACCTTCTTTAATCTAATATAACATATAAATATTATAACAAATGGAGAAAAAGAAATCCATGCGAAAAACAAATAATATACTTTTTTTCTTCAAAGTAATGACGTAATAAGTTCAAGGTTTTTCCAGCCCCAATGAGAATGTACCTACCAGTAGTAACAAGAAAAAAAAAATTAATAAATAATGCCAAGGTCTAATACTATCAAAGGAAAACATTGACTATATACGTCTCACTCAATGGGCATATAGCATGAACAACACCGTTAACATCGATTTGATTTATTTTTCGTAATTCATATTTAAATCCAGAGCCCTTAAAAAAAATTATTATTTATAAAATATTTATGAATTGAGTGTATATATAAATAGAAATAAAATCATACTTGGGCAACTGGTGTTTTTTTTATCAAAAAGATCATGAGTCGCCCTCCAATAGGTGCAATTTTTCCTATCATATGCCTTTCTTCTGCATCATGTACACCAATCCCAACGCATATCCAACGATATTCTTGTCTTTCTATTGTGAACTGCCATCCTGATAAAAGTAAAATGAACCAACAAATTTCATAAGGGGAATTAATATTCAATTAATGAATATTAAAATTTTAATACCTGTGATTGAATAAACGGCCTCAAGATTATCAGGATAGTCCTCGTCCTGCAATTTAAATTCGTGTATGATATCTCCACTAAAAATAAAATTCAAAAAAATGAAATTTAAAATATTGAGAACTTGTCCATATTCGTATTAACTGCTTAAAGGAATTACTCACTTTACTGGATCAATGAGTTTTAACACAGAAGTAGGAAAAACATCCTTACAACTAGTGCAAGCGACTACTATTAATTTATTGAAATCATCATAAAATAATCTACGTGGTGTCTAATTAACACACATGAAATAAAAGTTAGAATTGGAATTACAAATATGATTGAAAATAGAAATATAACTTACATCTAATACTGGTATAGTTCTTATATTGTTTTTTGTGAAATTATTTAATTGCACGAAATTAAGACAGTTTTGCGAAATAAACATATAACCCTGTGATAAACCATCATAATGGAAAACTGTGGCACCTTGCACCTAAACGTGTAAATAAATAAAAAAGTTAAATAACAGGCATAACAAAGAAAAGCACATTTTAATTAAATTGTTCCATACATGTTCATAATGTTCAAATGCCACGCATACAAAATTCAATCCGATATGATGTGAATGTTCTATTTGCCAGGGTCGATCAGATAATGCTAATACTGTGTATAAATCATTTTGTTCTTTGATAAACGCCGCTTGACTTGAATCTGGATCAATAAACTTGACAGGCAATGTGCCAATTCGTCTGACCACTGGGTTTGTAAGATGTGGTTTGTTCTCCGCTAATTAACAAATATATTAGAAGGAAATTTCCAATACAAATTTTTCTAAAAATAGATAAGATCTATAGTTACCCAGAGACCAAGACCATTGATAATAAATGACTGTACCCTCTCTGAGGCCTATAAAAATTATTATTAACTATGCATTTCACATGAAATTAACATCATAATTAACACCATGCCAATTATGTTTTACCAATTAAGAAAAATGATTTCTCTATGCTTCCAATTATACATGCAGATTCCGGTACGTTAACTTTCATAATAGAATAATCTAATGTAAAAAGTAAATAAATATATATATATAGAAAATGAAAAATTCATAAACTATGTACAAAAGCTTACCCAAAAGCTCCTCGTGTAAAATCTCCAAATAATAATCAGATTTTAAGGATAAGATCTTAATGCTTGGTCTGAACGTTCCAATGACACAAAGAGGATAAGGCACAAGAGCACTGGGTCAAACACGAAAAAACTCGAGATCAAAATGGTGTTAAATTCAATATCTCAACGAACATTACATCAATTACTAAAACCTTGGCGCTATGCATCGTATGAAACATAATTGGCAATTTAGACTGGATTTTTTAATTTCAGTGAACGTCACGTGCTTCCTATTTAAAGAAATGCATAAAAAATTTTTTTTCTTTAATAAATAATAATATGCAATTAAAGTTTATATACACTCACGTGTCATTATCGAAATCCAAGCGAATAACGGTGATTACGCTTCCATTGAAGGTAGATAAGCCAACGATGACAATCGAACCATATACCGCAGCAACTTCAATGACCGTATTTTCGGGTGGCGTCCATCGGCTTGAAGTATTTGCAATCCTAGCACCTTTACAATAGAATTAATATAATGTATGTGTATTGAAGCAATTAAAGTAAATCACACATACCCACTCCATCATAGGGTTCAGATACAACAATTTCTAAACGATGGATCTGAACTACAAAACCAGGCGCAGAACCAAGCGAAGCAACGCATAAAGAGCTCACTTCCAAATTAAGCCCACTGTGTTCACTAATATCATATAACTCCCCTTGACTAATATTCATTAGACGCGTAGAATTGGCATATGAAAGGGCCAAGAAAGAATCAGCCTTATCGTTATTATTGTACTTCAAATTCCAAAGTGCATTAACTCTATTATATATAAAAAAATCACATTATTGAATTTCTTTAAAACGATTTATTAAAGGGTTTTAAATAAAATCTATAGATTAATTACCCGTAGAAATCAGGTCCTGTTCGCGTGATTACATTGACGCCTACAGCTTTTCTTAACTCTCTGATAGATCCATATTTGTCACGCCCGCTACAAGTAAATATAACATCATGACGCTCTTGATGGAAATCGAGCATTTGGAAATCCAAAATTGGTGCCCAATTTGGTATACTACACGTTATTTGGGTTTTGGAGTCCGGGCAGATCTGAACATGAAATGAACTTTTCATTATATGACAAAATACAATGTGTACGATAAACAGAGTATCAGAAAACCTTAAATCCATACCAGGACAACTGCTCCATCACTCATTTCACCACTTAAAATGACAAAATTCCCAACATTAGGATCAAAGCACAATGCCGCCATAGCAGTTCCGATCGCATTTAATCCACTCCGCAGAAGGGTATACACAATTTTGATATCAGAAATTATATCAATTCTATACAAATCACCATTTTCTACTCCGGCGTACACATATTGTTGAGAAGAATGTGGTGGCGACAATGTCTGTTTCGATACAGACACATCCGCGGGATAAGCGAACGCAGTCATAAGAACTAATGAATACTTATTGGTGAATATTATAACCTATGAATTTAAGCATCACGCTTCATCAAATAAGTGAAAGCAAATTAATGAAACATAAAATTACATTCAGAAAAAGGTAACGATTCTCGATAAAAATCACCATTTCCATTCATAACTTGGTTTGCTTGAATGAAACAAGTTTCACATTCCTGTTTTAATGTACGAATATGTTAATATCGACGACCCAATATATAACATGCAACCTCTCTAAATGCATGTATCTCTTGACTAGTCTCAAGCATACGAAAACTTTTTTTCATTCTCTAAATATATACCACAATATTTTAGCATATGATCTCAAGGATTATGCATTTTGAGAGATTAACTGTATTACAAAATATACAATAATTCGTACATTAACT